CACAGCCCCCGCCTCCCCCATACAAACAAAACAAACAGAAATGGTCTGTAGAGCATGTCCCTGCCCTGCAGAATGTTGTTGTCTCTTAGTAAGATGTTGTCCAGAAAGTCCCTCCCTGACACTCATGAGCTTGCATCCCCCAGGGTGTAGCGATCCTGGCACCCAGTCTCTGGCATGGAATTGGGCATGGTGCCTCTGATGTTTTTTCTCTGCTGCTTTCCCCCTCTGGATACCACTTGAAGTCTAACTTCAAAGAGAATTAGGAAAAAACAAAATCTCTCCAAGAAATGTTCTCCTCCAGAACCCTCCTTCCTCTAAATTTCATCTATCACTGTTTATTCATGTTGCATCACTCAGTCTCACAGCCCCACCCCAATCGCCCAGTTTAGGGAGCTGTGAGATCCCTCAGTGCCTCTCTGCTCGCCTAAGAATACATTCTGGCCTCGCTCTTCCTAGAACCAGACCCAGCCATAATCTCCTTGGCCAGGAAGGACTCTGGCTGCAGGAACATTCAATTATATTCCCCTGGGGCTGGCTGGGGAAATAGCTCAGTTCCTGTACAGTCAGCAGGGAAGGCAATCAGGAATTATCTGGCCGCTGCCACAAGCAGATGTGTCCCCAACCCAGAAGGGAGAACAAGCAGCTGCTGCCTCCGGAGTCAGCTGTGGCTGTAGAGGAGGCCTAGGTAGAGGAATGAGGCCCTGGCACAAAACAGGCAGCCACAAAGGGTTACAGGCAACATTCTGGAGGTGTGGGGCTGCTCCATCCAGGCTGGCCAGGAGGCCAACTGGTGGATGCTTTTTACAGACATAGTAGAGAGCTGGTCAACCAAGTGTTTCACCCAAATCCACACTAGCTGTTTAAGGAATTTCCAGATCCTTCCCTTGAGCCCAGATTATGAAAATCAAACAAAACAAAATAAACACCTCTAGAGGAATCCAGAGGCCTTCCTTGCCACTGTGCACATCCCAGAGCTAGGGGGAGAGAAAGACAGAGACAGATAGACACAGAGAGAGACAGAGAGAGAGAGACAGACAGAGAGAGAGAGAGAGAGAGAGAGAGAGAGAGAGGAGAGGGGGAGAGAAGGGAGGGGAAGGAAAGGAAGGAGGGAGAGAAAGAGGAGGGAGGGAGAGAGAGACAGAGAGAGAGAGACAGAGAGAGACAGAGAGAGAGAGAGAGACAGAGAGAGAGACAGAGAGAGAATAGAAGCTCTGTGGCCAATCTCAGGAGATCTTAGGCCAGGCAGGCTAAATTATAGTCTCTACAGAGCTGGGGTGGGTTCTTGATTGACAAACATTCTCTAGTCCCAGGCACTGTGCTAAGGTTCTAAAGTCCAGTCAAATACAGAAAGGCATGGCCTGGTAGGTAGAGGTATAGAGGAAAGAGGTTGGCCCCCTGAGCTACAGGAAATACTACAGTGATCTTTGGAGTTCAGGTGCTTCTGGAACTTGCTTCCCTATAGTACCCCTCATCTCTGTGGGTTCTCTAATGCTTCCACAGTGTTTATAGTTAATGAAGAGTTACTTCGGATTGGTACTGGAGAGATGGTTCAGTGGTTAAGAGCACATACTGCTCTTCCAGAAGAGCTAGATTGGGTTCCCAACACCCATGTCAGTCAGCTCACAACCACCTGTAAACTACGGTTCCAAGGGATCTGAAGCCCTCTTCTGGACTCCATGGGTAGCTGCACTCACATGCACATGCCTATGCATAAACGTACATGTATACACCACACAAATTTTAAGAAATAATAACATAAGTTAAAAAAGAGTTACTTTTCTCCAGGCGGTGGTGGCACACACCTTTAATCCCAGCACTCAGGAGGCAGAGCCAGGCGGATCTCTGAGTTCGGGGACAGCCTGGTCTACAGAGCGAGACCCAGGACAGCCACCAAAACAACACAGAGAAACCCTGTCTCCAAAAAAAACCAAAAGAACAAAAAAAGTTACTTTTTGTGTTTTATGAGGAAATCCACAAAACCCTTAAATCTTCAAGTAGCAAAATTTAAGGTGGTCAGTAAAATACCTGTTGTACTGAAACCAAGATGCTAAGAGATGGGGCAAGTAGTAGGCTCTCCAGTGCTCCAAGTGTGGTGTTTCAGTACCAATATGGCATGAAAGAGCTGAGGGGAGCCAGGACAAGTAGACATGGTGGGACCTAGTTACTTCTATCCTGCCCACTCATGGGACTGTGCTCCCCCCATCCTCCTCATATACCTAAAAAAAAAAATGCTTGCTACAGAGTTTGATATGGTCCCTCTTCACATTCATTAACATGTTAAAATAAGTCTAAGTCAATGTTTCATGAGACTAAACAAAAGACACACTTGTGTATTGTGAATAGTGGTGGTGGGGTCTTTGTAGCTCCCATATTTCTTGATTATGTCCCCCATGGGGCCAAGAAACTGCAAAAGCAGATTCAGGGTCATCCAAAGTCAGCAAATCAAAAACTAAGTGTCCTCGGAACCCAACAGGAGAGGCCATGACATGAGGCAGCAAATCCTTGAGGCTGATCTCATCTCGGTTTGGGCTCAGTGTCTGGTGGCTTCCCAAAAAACTGGGACCCATCTTTCTCTCCAGGGGCTGAGGAGGCATATAACACAGAACCAAAGGACTGCCTCTGCCTTCTTCCTCTTTCAGGCAGTGCCCAGCAAAGAAACCTACCCCTTAAGATCAACAAAAAACTGACAACAAACACTGGCTAAGTTATGGAGAAAGAGAAATCCTCACCCATAGCTGGTGGAAACCAGTACATCCTCAAAACAACTAAAATTAAATGTACCAAGTGACCCAGCTTACCATTACCTGGATCCCACTCCACAGATACTTGCTCACAATGCTATCGACACCTTATTCACAATAGCCAGGAAATGAAAACAAATTAAATGCCCTTCAACAGATGAAGAGACAATGAAAACGTGGTACATATACTTCACGGAATATGATTCAGCTATAAAGAAAATCATGGGATTTGCGGGTAAATGGATAGGACTAGAAAAGATTACACTGAGTGAGCTGGAAAGACAAACACCACGTGTGCTCTCTCGTCTGGAGTTCCTCTCTCCAGGTCCTCAGAATTAAGTGTAGCTACCATCCCTCATCATGGAAGCCTTTTTGTAGCAAATTGAGACCGTCACAGAAAACCACAACTGGACAGAATGCAAGTATCAACATATCAACAAATGATGGAGGCCCAGCCTCAACGGATGCATCAACATCAGAGCTCCTGAAAAGGGTGTGGAAAGATCCTAAGACTCTATCAGTTCGAGGGGGCATGGGAGGGGTTCGAGGGATGATGTCTGGGAGGGGCTGGAGCGAGAGGGAACAGGACGTAATTCTATTTCGATTAAAAACATTTAAGAAAGAAAGAAACAAACAAACAAAGGAGGGAGGGAGGGAGAGAGAGGGGGCAATGAACACGCGCGCGCGTGCACGCGCGTCTCCTTCCCGTCTGATTCCAACCTACTGACGCAGAACGTGGGCGCGGCCGCGCGGTCTTTCCGAAGCAATTCCATCGCTCAACAAACGTGTCCGTTTTAGTTTCTAGTGTTGATGTTCTGCGGCTATCTTTTCCTTCTTCCACTTAGCCGGCAATATGAGCCGAGAGAAGCAGAGAAGGCAAAGGGAGTTAATTCATGCCTGAAGCCAGTTTGCACTATGGTTCAGTCCTCAGTGACCCAGCCACTGTCCTGCCCAAGCATTACGCTCTGGTCCCCGGGCAACTGAAGCTATGTACCCACTGGGTGGCGCGCTTGATGACATTTGCCAATGGTGCCTTTTTGCTTCTAAAATCCCAGCGCAGACAAAGGATAACTTTGTCCCTTTCAAGAGGGACAAAGGTGTTTTGTTTATTCCATTTCATTTTAAAAATTTATTTCATGTTTACCTCTTTTCAGCGAGCTGGTCCTGCCATGAACTCAATGTTATTATCAGTAGCCAGACCAAACAATATAAATAAAAGTATAACAAAGAAGGGATGGTTCAGAGCCCTGTAGCTCTTCCAGAGGACTCTGGTTCGATTCCCAGCACCTTCAACGGACACAGCTCACAACCCACGTTAACTCCAGCTCCAAGAGATCAAACAGTGGAGCCTTGCTGGTACACACGTGCACATACGCATGCATAATAAATTATTTTTAAAAGTATAGCAAATCCAGCTGTTTTGTTTGGGTTTTTTTGTTTGTTTGTTTGTTTTCGAGACAGGCTTTCTCTGTGTAGCTTTGTGCCTTTCCTGGAACTCGCTTTGGAGACCAGGCTGGCCTCGAACTCACAGAGATCCGCCTACCTCTGCCTCCCGAGTGCTGGGATTAAAGGCGTGCACCACCACTGCCTGGCTTTCCAGCTTTTTTTTTTTTTTAAATAAAAAAAATTGTATTTACTTAGAAGCATTCAGAATGTCAACAAAACAGCTGCAATTTTTTTTTGCAACTACAGAGTGGTATTCAGGTAACAGAACAACAATTATCTTCGTAATAAGCTGCATCAGAGACAACTGAAGATAAAAAAAAATTAAACAAAAACAAAACAAAACCTACCGTCCCCATATATAACTAATTTGTGCTATGCACCAACAAGGATCTGCTTTAAATTTCCATGCCAGTTTACAACCCCAGACTGGACCAGGCAAGGTTAGTGGCTATTGAGAATACCACCAGGACAGGGCTATCTAAAGACACATTCGGTAGTGAGTTAACTACACAAAAAAAGACACTGTACAGTTTAAAAACAAATCTTACACAGCCTTACATTTTTTTTTTTTTTTTTTTTTTTTGGTTTTTCGAGACAGGGTTTCTCTATGTAGCTTTGCGCCTTTCCTGGAACTCACTTGGTAGTCCAGGCTGGCCTCGAACTCACAGCGATCCGCCTGGCTCTGCCTCCCGAGTGCTGGGATTAAAGGCGTGCGCCACCACCGCCCGGCCAATTTTTTCTTTAAAAGGAGTGTGTTGTGTACAGGGGGATTAAATGCTTTATAGACAAGAAAAAAACTGCGCTAGAACCAACTTATTTATCATCATCATCTTCATCTTCGTCTTCCTCTTCTTCCTCCTCTTCCTCATCCTCTTCATCCTCCTCCTCATCTTCCTCTTCCTTCTTTTTCTTGCTCTTTCCAGCCTTGACGACCCCCTTCTTCGCCGCATCGGGTTTTCCTTTAGCTCTGTAGGCAGCAATATCCTTCTCGTACTTCTCCTTCGGCTCGGCAGCCTTCTTCTCACAGGGCTGCTTGTCGTCCGCAGCGGTGTTGTTCCACATCTCCCCCGGCTTCTTCGCCACGTCCCCGATGGACAAGCCGGGGTGCTCTCCTTTGATTTTGGGGTGATACTCGGAACAGAACAAGAAGAAGGCCGAAGGAGGCCTCTTGGGTGCATTGGGGTCCTTGAACTTCTCTTTGGTCTCCCCTTTGGGGGGGATGTAGGTTTTCATTTCTCTCTCATAACGAGCCTTGTCAGCCTTTGCCATGTCTTCAAATTTCCCCTTTTCTTTAGCAGACATGGTCTTCCACCTTTCTGAGCACTTCTTCGAGAACTCTGAGAAGTTGACAGCAGCATCCGGGTGCTGCTGCTTGTGTTCCTCCCGGCAAGTTTGCACAAAGAATGCGTATGAGGACATTTTGCCTCTCGGCTTCTTAGGATCTCCTTTGCCCATGTTTAGTTGATTTTCCTCCGCGAGGCACAGAGTCGCCCAGCGCCCGTCCGGCTTGCGCTTGCCCCGGCGCTGTCTCTATGGAGCTCAATGTACTGCAATGGCTGTCTCCAGCTGTTTTTTTTTTTTTTTTTTTTTTTTTTTTTAAGAGCATTGAGATTTGAAGAGGAAATTTGGAAGGCTTTTGACCACAAAAATATTACCCCAAAATAGGTCTAAACACCGACTGTTTGATTCCTAAGTTTGAATTCATTGCTATCCTTCCTGTTGGGCTTGGGAAACAAGCCCAACTGCCTGGAGATTATATCAGTGGAAATATATCCCATGCAACATTAGGGATATACTTAAATTGAGAGAACCCAATGTTTATCTGACTGCTGGATGATCATTAACACACAATTCCCAGCACTGGGAAGGCAGAGAGACAGGCAGACCTCTGAGTCTGAGGCTAGCCTAGTCTACAGAATGAGTTCTAGGATTGACAGGACTAGACAGAAAAAAGGGAAAAAAAAAAGATTATGTTTAAGACAGCCTGAAAGCCTGGGACTATATTCTGTCGGGACAGAATCCAGGTTTCTTGACTTCATGTCCTTTTCACTGCATGTCAAGTCACCTCCATCCCCTGTTGGCTAGGAGGTGAATGCTGAACTTTTGACCCTTGTCTCCTGGGGAAGCAGGAGTGCCAGGCATACTCTTTTTCTTTGTAAAGTAACCCCAGCCTGTCTCATTATAGTGAGAGTCGGGTGAAAGACCACAAATGTTCCGAGGGCATTATGGGTAACACATACAGATCTTTCACATGTCTGCTTCTGTCATCCCCTGTGGCTAGTTGAGGGACTTCATAAGCAGTTTTTTTACTTCGTGAGAGACATTCCCCAGGAATCATTTGATAGAGGCTTATATGACAGCACTTGATGTCCAAGTGGCCCCATACACACATGGAACTCTCTAGAAAGAAGGCCACCACCTTGCTTTCTGACTCATTGCTAACCGAGAGAGGAGACATCTCACCTTCTAGGAGAGTTATCAGGGTTGTTTACATCCTCAAGATGACAGCCATCTTTCTGATAGAGGGCTTAGGGGATGCTTAGCCAAGCCTTTATTTAGTGTGCCCATGTCTGTCCTTGTGCCCCAGCTCCTCCTGGATACAACCACAAGGCCCCGCACCGCTAGCCCAGAGCAGAGGGGGAATCATGTGCTCCCAGATGAAAATCCCAGTGCTAAGGCTGACCTGTCTGCACTGAGTTCTTCACCAGACCCATAGGACGCTTCCTTCTCCACCAGTGCCAGGCACGGAGTGACTAGGGCTGGGTGGCCTTTAGGAACTCAGGGCTCAGCCTGTGTTTCCTGAACCCCTTTCCATAAAAACCCTGCGACCCCAGCCGTTCAGAAACTCTGAAACACAAAATTGTGTTCAAATCCCTTTGCTACCCATTGCTAAGTGCAACCTAATGTCACAGAAGGCAAAGAACATCTGGTCACAGAGTGAGACTTCAAGGTATCACACAGCAAGACTTCAAGGTGTCACACAGCAAGACTTCAAGGTGTCACACAGCAAGACTTCAAGGTACTAGTGCTGAATTAGCAGAGGACTCTGCCCACAAGCCAATGACCCAATGTAATTTTTGTTGTTTGGGTTTGTTAGTCTGTTAAGCTAAACTGTCTCTGTGTAGCTCAGTGTATACCTCCAACTCTTGATCCTCCTGCCTCTGCCTTCCTGAAGTCAAGATTATGGCCATGTGTTACCACATCTCATAAACCAATAAATATTAATGTGGTTTTTTTTTTCACATAGCATGTATTTACTGAGGGGCTTTTTCACACCAGACATAGAGAAGGCTCCAGGAAGTAGAAGTGAATAGAATGGCAAATGCTTTTCCTGCTGGGAAGCAAGCTAAGTGAGAAACAGTGACATATTTTGATGAGGCTTATGCTGGGGAAAGTGGGGCTGCCATGACCTAAGCCGGGGTCCCATTCCGGTATAGGAGGCAGAGATCTGGGTCAGAAAAAGGCTCTTTTAAAAATGGGTAAGACCTGAGAGCTGAGACTCTCTGAGCAGAGAGGGTCATGGGTGATACCGAGGGGCGGAGGCAATGAGGTTTTTGAAACTTACACAGGAAAGGCAAGACTCTTAGAAGCATGCTGAGAAAAAGAAACCCGATCAAAGAGCCACATGCAATATGACTCCATATATCCAGAGTCCAGAATCTGTGGGAAGAGAAAAGAGATAAATGGTTACCCGCGCTGAGCAGGAGGATGTGCAGGGACTGTTAGGAGCCCAGGCGTCTTTTGAGGGGCAATAACAGTGTTGTGGAATTAGGTGCTACATGATGGCTGCAAGTCTAGTGATGATACTGGAGAAGAAAAACCAACCCGATGACACTGAGATTTTCAAAGGGTGAACTGGGGGCTAGGGAGATGGCTCAGCGGGTAAGAACACCTACTGTGTAGGTGTGAGGACCCGTCTGAGTTTGCTTCTCTGTTGCTGTGATAAAACTCTAACCAAAACCAAGTTGGAGAGGAAAGGCTTGTTTGGCTTACACTCCTGGGCGACAGTCCATCACTGAGAGGAGGAAGGGCAGAAACTCAGGCAGGAACGTGGAGGCAGGAACAGAACCACAGAGGAACGCTCGCTGCTGACTGGCTTATTCTCCATGGCTCACTCAACTTGCTTGCTTCCACCACTGAGGACCATTTGCCAGGGGTGGCACCACCCGCATGGGCTGGGCCCTCCCACACCAATCATTAATCAAGACAATGCCACACAGGCCAATCTGATGGAAGCAATTCCTCAATTGAGGGTCTCTCTTTCCAGGTGACGCTACTTGACTTCAAGTCAACAGAAACTAAGCAGCCTAGGACTGAAGCTTGAATCTCCAACACTAACATAAAAATCCAGGCATGGCCACATATGCCCGTAACCCCTGACTAGGGAGGTAAAAACAGCAGGATCCCAGGAGCTTGCTGCCTAGCCAAGCCTAGCTAAAATGACAAGCTTCAGGTTCAGAGAGGGATCCTATCTCAAGGGAATAAGGTCGAGAGTGATTGAGGAAGACATCCAATATCCTCCTCTGGCATGTACTTGCACATACACGTCCACATGCCACACACACAAAGTGGTGAATTACATGTCGGTTCATCGTTCATATAGTTCAGTGTTGTAAAAGAGAGCGTGGCTCTGAGGTCCACCAAACAACTGAATTGCATTCACTTGGCATGGAAGGGCAGGTTACCTTCTGACAGGCCTGATCCTGAGAGCCATGAAAACCAGTGGGTGTTAATTCAGAGCGACAGGGTCCGACTTTCCCTCTAGGAAGCTGACATGGCTGTCACCAGGAGGCTACATTACAGGGGGAACCAGTGGGAAGGCTGATGTTGTTCCCCAGATGAGAACCAGGGTCAACAGTGAGGACAAAGCAGGATTCAGAGAGTGCTCAGAGCTCAGGGACTGTAGGGAGGGGGGAGGGGGAGGAGGAGAAGAGGGAGGAGCCTAGGGTGGTTGAGGTGAGTGGGGCTGGGGTGAGGATGATTGAGATGAATGGGGCTGGGGCGAGGGTGCCAGAAGAAATGGGATGAGGAGCCACTTATCAGGATGGAGAGCTTGGTGTGAGGGGGCCACCTGAGTTTGAGACACCTACATAAAAAACAAGGAACCCATATCTAGGAGAAACCACTGGACTTTTCATCACCAATGCTTTGGGAATGGGCAAGCTGCCCTGAGTGTGGAAGGCAAGAAGAGAGAGCCAGGTTGTGGCCTGAAAACCTCCAGCACATGAGAGACAAGAAGCCAGGAGCCAACCTGAAGAAAAGAAGGGACACGCGGAATCCCAGGAGGGAATGTCTTAAGAGCATGGTGGACTGAACTGGGTGATCAAGGAAGCTGAGAAAGGACTTAGGGAGAGATCAGGTGCTGGAGAATCTTTGGGATGGGGGTCCGCAGTGCAGTGCTAAAGGGAGATGGGACAGATTGAGGAAAGAGCCAGGGGTGGAAGAAACAGATTCTTGGAATGAGTCTGTGCAGGAAAGAAGGGATGTGGAGGGCAGGGTTCAGGCAGGAGGGAAACAAACTGGTTTGAATTCTGAGGGCCTGGAGAGAAGGGCCACCAGTTGAGTGGAAGTTTCTAAAGAAATGGGTAAAGTCAGAATTCACCGTACCAAGTACCCTGGCCTTAGATGCCAGGTGAGGAGGCCTTCCTCTGTAGATGAAGGACAAAAGACGGGGCAGGACTGAGATGTGTTGGGGTGGGGGTTAATAAACAAGAGATGAGGAAAAGGCATTTTCCTACGGCTTGTAGTTTGACATGGAGGCAGGAGACAAGATCAAATGCTGAGGCTGAAGGCAAAGGGACTTGACAAAGCGTATGTCAAAAGCTGCTCCGAGAGGCAGCTGTTACATTTCCAAGAATCTGAAGATCAAGTTGTTAAACACAGCTATTGAAAATCAAATTAGAATAGTTCCACACCAACCTCCCCAACTCCTTTGTGAGGACGGCGATACCGGTGCAGCAGATCTTAAGGCTCGGACATGGTCAAAATGAGAGCAAGTCACACACGACAGACAAGACTGAGCAAGACTCCTCTGCCGGGGCTTCAGCCTGAGCTAGCCAACTGAAGCTCCAGGCAAAGGAATTCAGCAGCAGTGAAGAGGGGTCAGGCTGCTGTGTTCAACACAATAGACCAGCCAGCTCGTATTGATTTTCTGGGCCAGGCTAAAGTCTAGTAATTGTCCCTTGGTCATGGGCATGGTTTCAAAAGATGTTTTTCCTTCCTGTGGGTAAACATTCTGACCTTGAGGTTTGTGGGCTAATGGACAGTGGCTTAACCCAATAACTGCTGAATTGCTCCTGTGGCTGGGAATCACTGTCTCTTATGAAAGTTCCAGCTTAGGTGGGGTAGAAGAAACACACTCCAGCTCCAGCAGGCAACAGGCCAAGTTAATCCTTTATTGTTATGGTTTTGCATCAACCATGCAGAGCTCAGTGGAACCGGATCCTGAGGGTGGGGACAACAGAGAGGACAGACACAATATGAAGGCAGAGGTGTCAGACAC